GACTTCCTGGTCCCGTTCTGAGTGGCGGTGTTTGGCCTGCTTCTGCTTGGTTAATTAGCCCCTCGCGCGGCCCGCCCGGACTTTGACTCGCCGTTGTTGCGCTCTCGCCTGCGGCTGCCGACAAAAAGTAACCCCGCCAGCCCATCCAGAAACGATGCCCAGAGGAATTGCCTCGATCAGGTAAGTGGGCAGCACACAGAGGAAGGGTCCCCCACTGGAGTCCTCTTGGGGCGTCTTGGGTGCCTCGGAGAGCTTCTTGGGGCCCTTTGGGGGTCTCATGGGGCTAATACGTTTGTGTAGAACCAACGATTTGGGATTATCGCCGAGGCCTCTTGGAGCATCTTGGGTGCCTCTGGGGGTCTTTGGGGGCCCCTCAAGGGGTTCTCTTGGGGGCCTCTCGCAGGCGTCCTGGGGGCCTCTTTGGGGCTTCCTGGCCACTTCTTGGGGCCCTCCTGGGGCACCCTTTGGGAGCCTTGGGGGCCATCCACGGACCATCTTGGGCGAGATCGATCACAGGAAGGGGGGGTGTCTAATTAGCGCCCCCCCACCCAAGAGGCCAAACTGGAGCCAAAACCATGGTAAAGCAAATGAGCTTGGCTTCCTCGCCGAGGCCGTTTTGGACGTCCCGACGCCTCGCGAAACTTTTTGTCCAGGTCCAGGGGAGGGGTCAGGGGGAGGAGCAAACCCTTCCCCGAAGGGGAAAAAGGACGGGTGGGAGAGGAAACTCCCTAAACCACCTACGCCCAGACGGCTGGTGGGGGTCTCTTGGGAGCCCTTTGGGGGCAACTTGGGGGCAAGAGGGGCGTTCTGGCCATCTGTTGGGGCCATCTTGGGGCACTCTGGGGGCCTCCTGGGCTCTTCTTGGGGCCATTTTTGGGTGAGATCGATGACAGGAGGGGGGGTACTAATTAACGTCCCCCCTCAGGAGGTCAACGCGAGGTCATAACCACGGTAAAACACATGATGTTGGCTTCCTCGCCGAGGCCGTTTTGGACGTTCCGACACCTCGCGAAACCCCCTGTCCAGGTCCAGGGGGGGGGGTAGGGGGAGGGGTCAAGACGCCATCCCCGCCCGCAAACCGTTTCGCTCACTCCCACCCGCCTTCCCAATACATATTCAGCACCCGAGCCTGGCCCGAGCCGCAGTATATTCAGCAGTCGTCTTTGTACGGACAGCTACTGGGGGCGAAGCCGCCGCCGCCGCCGCCGCCGCCGCCGCCCGCCGCCGCCACCGCGCCGCCCGCCGCCGCCGCCGCCGCCGCCTCCGCTGCCGAATCGCCGCCGCCGCAGCAGCTGCCGCCCGCCACCGCTGCCGCCGCCGCCGCCACCGCCGCTGCAGCCGCCGCCGCCGCCGCCCCCGCTGCCGAATCGCCGCAGCCGCTGCCGCCCGCCACCGGTGCCGCCGCCGCCGCCACCGCCGCCGCCGCCGCCGCCGCCCCCGCCGCCGCCGCCGCCGCCACCGCCGCAGCCGCCGCAGCCGCTGCCCCCGCCTCAGCCGCCGCGGCCGCCGCCGCCAAATGTACCCTGTATGGTTTTTGACAGGGATGGTGTGGGGAGGCCGCATCGGGTTCGCTGCGCATGCACAGAATTTGGAGGCAGAGTGTGTGTTGTATTGTTTTGTGCAAGGGATGGTGGTGGGGGGGGGCCCTCATTGACTCGGGTTGGCTCCCGGTCGCTTGGGGGAGGGGGTGTATTTTCATAGGGAGCAGTGACAAATCCTTCCCCGAAGGGGAAGAAGGAGGGTGGAATAGGAAACTCCCTAAACCACCGACGCCCAGAGGGCTGGTGGGATTTAATGGTTCTGGTCCCCTCGGGTTCGGCATCTTGGGCCGTTTGGGGGGGGGTTCTTGATATGTTTTGAGGCTGTCTTGGGGGCCGCTTGAGCCGCCTTGGGCCATTTTGGCGTCATGTTGGTTGCCTTGAAGGCCGCCCTGGAGGCCATGAGGCTCCCAATAGGCTTTAATGCATATCAAGAGGTCCCCAAGACGGCCCAAGAGGTTTCCAAGAGGCCCTCCAGAATAGCCAGCGGAGGCCAATGCAATTGAGTTTCCTAAGGTGTGTGTTGGATGTTGAGGTTCTGGCATGTTTGGGTTTCCAACCGCCCAAGGCAGCCCACTAGGCCTCTCTGGGCCGTCTTGCTGCTTTCTTGAAGCGCTTCATGGCCGTTTGGGGGCCCTCTTTGGGAGCCCCTTGGGCGATCTGTAGGTCCTCTTGGGCCGACTTCGGCCCCTCCCGGGGGCCTCTGCTCCTCTGGCTCTTTCGAGGCTCCTTCGGGACCCGTTTGGGGCCATCTGGGCCGCGTTGAAATCTTTTTGGGTTGTTTGGGGGCCCTTTGGGGGGCCTATTGGGTTGTCCCGTGACGATATTCAGGGCCTCTTGGGTCGTTTTGGACGCTGTTAGGACCGACACAACGAATATGGTAAAATGGTACGTTTCCCGATAGGATTGCGACGCAATGTCCCTCTTGGGCGCCCTCGGCGGGGCCTTTTGGGCCGTCTTGAGGGCCTGCTTGGCCGTGTAAAAGCAGTCTTGGGCCTTCTCGGAGCGCTCTTGGGTCCTTCTGGAGCCGTCCAGAAGCCCCTCCGCCAGGCGCCCGGAGGCTGGGGAGTGCCATGTAAAACTTATGGGGGGGCGGCCATCCGGGGAGAGTTATCCATGCAGGGAAAAACATTGACAATGTACAGTCGGACCTGGGGTCACCGCGCGCTGGGGTCCCAGGACGTCGGTTCCCCAAGCGGCGGACGCGGGTAGATCCCCACTTCGTACATTGAGGACGTTTCCGGGCGCTTTGGAACGGCCTCGGCGCCCGATACAGTTTCCAAAACGGCCTGACCTCAAACAATCATCGACACGTTTTGGTCCGGTTTCGCCTTGGTCTTGTTTGTGTCTTACAAAAGGACAGTTTCGAGTTTGGCACAGTTGGATTCGCCTTGGAATTCTAGTCAGAGCGCGGGCATGCCAGGGGGTCCTGGGCCACTGCCGGGCGTCGCACGCGCCAGCGCCACGGACGCCTCGAGATAATTCTTCCTCTCGTGAAGCGGCACTCTGCGTGGCGGGCCTTCGTGTTTTTTGGGGGCATTGAAAAGGGTTGTAGGGATCTTCGGCACTTCCTGCGTTGAGGACTTTTGGTACTGATCGGTTGATACAAGTAGGCATTCTTGGTTCTACATGTTCCATCTGTATTGCAGGCGTCTCCGTATTCCAATACTCGAACAGTGTTTGATTTTCCCTCCTCTTGAAGGGGGTGGGCGGAAACCCCATGTATTTTTAACGCCTTCTAACTCTGTCTTTTATGCATGTTGTCTGACATATTGGTATACCTGGGCGCTGTCGTATATGTTTTTGTTTCTTTGTCTGCGTTCCTTTCGCGCAAACAGGTTGCTTTACAATGAAAGCATTGGGTAATGAACCATTGGATATGGAATCAAGGTTCTGGAGGACGGTGGGCCTCCAATCATGGACTGGCTATGGATATCGCCGCTGTCCTCGTTGGACAAGGAATCCTCCAGGGTCCAAGGCTGCCCCGGCAGATTCCTCATCGAACGCCCCCACTGTAGTATGCACTGAAGCTCGGAGCCCTTGACATTCGTTTCGTCAATCGCGCTCGCCTACCCCAGGCAACGCCTCGCACTGCCAAGCTCGTGCTCGCCCCCCGACGACGACGTCGACGACGTCGACGACGACGATGACGACGACAACGATGACGACGACGACGACGTCGACGACGACGACGCCGACGCCAACACCGACGCCGACGACGTCGACGACGAAGACGACGACAATGACGACGACGATGGCGGCGGCAATGACGACCACGAGCACGACGATGACGACACGTCGACGGCGACGGCGGAGGCGGCGACGACGACGACGACGACCGTGACGACGCCGCCCCCCCTGCCCCCCAGCACTGCCCAGCCCCTCCGCCTCGACCTCTCCTGGCGCCGCCGCTCCCCCTTGGCCCGTGGGCCTCGGCTCGATCCTCGAGTCCTGCAGTGTGCAGCTCGCGTGCGGAACTCGTGTGACTATCCTCGGCGGCGCGCCTGTGGGGGAATGAGATGGAGAAGGCCCTCTCAGAAAGCGGCGGGGCTTCGGAAAAGAATTCCGGCCTTCCGAGAAGGTTCCCGCCTCTCCGAAGAAAGCTTCGAGCATTGTTCTGAAGTCTTCTTGGGGACGTCCAAGCCTTTCACTTCACCCTGGGCGCGCCGCCGACTGGAGTGTGCAACTCGCGTGCAGCCGGGGGTCGCGTTACTATCTGGAGGGGGAAGGTTCGGAGGAGGAAAAGGTACCAAAACCGCTACCCTCCCCTCGTTGTCGCCTTTCTGGGCCTCGTGGGAGGTCCTCGTCGCCACAGCCGCGTTCGCCTCGCGTACCTTTGGAGCGGTACGGGGAGTAGCGGTATCGGCACCATTTGTTTTCCCCAGTTTAGAGGAGAAATGCGGGTTGAGGGTATCAGGGCCGTCTTGGTTGGGCTTTTTGTTGGAAGTCTTGACGCTGTCTTGTGCTGATCCTCGAACTGCGTGGGCCCTCGGGGCCCTGTTGGGGAACTGTTTGGGCCCTTAGGGTGACTTCTCTGATTTGTGGGGGGGGATTATGGGGCCTCCCGAAGGCCGTCTGAAATATTCCTGTAGGTCATGCTGTGCGCTCCAGGGTCGCAAGGCAAATCCATTTGAATCGCATCGTCATCGGTCTTACTCCTCGAAGGCCTGCCCGTGAGCTTCTTGGGGATCTCTTAGGAGTTTGCTGGCGCATGCTTGGACCTGCTGGGGCTTGTTTGAGAATCGTAGGCTCGCGCATGGTGGGGCACACTTCTTCAGTCATATGCTGGAAAATACTACGTTGCCCGATTAAGTCGGTCCTTTTGGACCAGCGATGTATTTGCATTGGAGGGCACCTGGCGGAGGATGCCGATAAGAAAGAGCGGAGTGGTGTGGCGAGGTAGCGGGCGAGGGGGCAGAAGCATAATCGTGCAATTGGGCTTGCATGCAAAGCGACGCTGAGGTAGCCAAGATCACGGAGGCCCTGAAGCCGCCGCCGAAGCCGCTCAAGAAGGCCAAGTTCAACAAGGTATCCTCTTGTAAACTTCAGACGGGGGGCAGGTAACGAGCAGCAGCCGAGGGGTGAAAGCCATCGGTTCCTCTGCATTTGGCCCTTTCCCCTCGCGCCTTCTTCCCCTGCCCCCTATTTCTATGGGCAGAATGGTTTCGGCCGCCGCGTCAGAGCTCGCTCTGTCTACATTATCATATGGTGTTGCTGCTGCCTGCTCTGGCTCCTTACGCATGCCGCCAAGGGCGCCTTCGTAAGGAGGAGGGGGAGGAGGAGGGGCTCTGGGGCGCTCTTGGGGCCGCCCTTGGCCTATCTTGGGTTCTTCTTGCGGTTTTCGTGGGCGATTTCGGAGACATCTTGAGGCCTCCGAAGACATTTGTAGCGAACATGTGAGAAGACCAACCTCATTACTGTTCCAAAGGTTTTGGACAGGCTTTGACATCTCGGAAAGGGGTCCTTGGGAGGCTCCGTGGCAACTTCGGCTGTCTTAGAACGGTCCTGGCGCCTCTTGGAGGCATGTTGGAAGCTATCTTGAGCTATCTTGGAATATCTTGAGCGGTCTTGAGGCCCTCTTCGGCTATCTGAGGCCCTCCTGGGGGAGGGAGGGAGGAGGGGTGTGAAGTGGACGTCATCACATGGCGATATTCAAGCTTAGCGGTCGCCCCTCCCTTCTCAGAACTCCTCCAGGACCGAAAGCGCTTGGGAAACCGAGTACGCCGAGGAGAAACTGCATACACCACGCCCCACTTGATCATCTCCCTCCACGCAGTAAGAACAACGCGTTCACCCTATTTCACAATAATGTGTGCAGTCGAAACGACATGAGCAATCCAATGCCGATTGAAGTACTGCAGGCCAAGACAAACAATGTCTGGCGAACACTCCTCCATGTGACCGTTTTCCTATTCATTGTTTTGCTGATCGGCGCAGAGGCCCTCGCACCCCTCCCCAACGGAGTGGATCTTGGCTATCTTTGGCGCTTGTTTCAAGCGTGCATATGGCAGGGCTCGCACAGCCATCCCCATATCTGCATGTGTCCCCAAGCCATCGTCGGCATGTAACGGAGCTCGAACATGGGCTGTCCAGTAGCGATGTCCCGCCGCGGTCTATTTGGGTCGTAGGCTGGTGTTTTTTTTACGGCCGCAGGCGGAAGCGCCAGCGGCAGGCGGTCACGGTCGGGCTGCGGCCGCGACGAGGGGGCGGGCGCGCGCGGGGCCGCGGTCAGGCGGCGGGCAGCGGCAACCCAGGGCGTCTGAGAAGCCAGGGCGTGCAAATCCAGGGAGTCTGCCGGGCAGCCCCTGAGGTGAACATGCAACGGCACATCCAAGGAGTCTGAGAGGTCAGCCACCGAGGAGAGCTGAGCGCAGCCAAAATGGCGCGCTAGGCGTTCCCACTGTGAACGAAACGAACGAACAGAAGTAGGGAACGATTTCCGTGCGGGACGTCAATCCAGGGAGTCTGACGGGTATGGGCAGACTGACATTGGTGACGCAGTCCAGCGGGAAAAGTAAACTGACGGCGCCAGCGAACCGTCGCGACGTCAGAACTCGCATCCAGGGAGTAGAAGCCTAAATCGCCCGAGGCAGAACCTTCCACTGCTGAGATGCGCCTGCGTCCAAGGGACCAGCGATCTGGTCAGAACGCAGCAAGGTGCACGAAGCCCCACGGTGAGAACTCGTTGGTCGCTGAGAAGTGCACCGATCAATGCGACCCAGCGCCACCCACACGCCTACGTATGGTAGCACCCGAGGGACGGGACCGTCGTATACCCGAGACGCGTCCCTCACAGCCACATCGTTCCAGGGGCACGGCTGAAGGCCGTAGAAGCTGGTAGAATCCAGGGGGTGGCGCAGTCTATGGACAGGCGAAAACCGCTGGATCGCCCACAACCGCGCGCCAGGCTGGGCCTAGCAGGCGAAAGCAACTACAGTGAGGCCAGGAGCCCCGGGTCCACGCGCAACCGAGATTGCCGTGTGGACGGTATTACTGGCACGCACACTTGTATCCAAAGGCAGGAAGTGCGCGTGCCAGGGGGGGGCGGCAGAAAGCCGCAAGCAGGCAAGGGGAGAGGAGCAGGAGGGCGAGGGAGGGGAGGCACGGGGCGACCCAGCAGCGGCGACCGGAGAACGGGCGAGATCGACCCGATCAACCAGGGGACCAGCCCCGACAGCGGGATCGGCAGAGATCCTGGTAGCGTTGGGCACGCGAGGCAGTCCCGTGGACCACCCAGGCGTCGTCCCCAGGGAAGGTCGATTAAGATCGAACGGTCCAGTGGAAGAGCGTGCCTCCCTGCGGCCACTGCTACCAGGCACACCCGTCACTCGCTCTCATCCTCCTGGCTGAAGGCCAGTCTCTTCTGTGAGGTTTGCTGCGCGGGGGCTGGGCGCGACTCTGGTGTCGGCGCCCGTGCCTCCAGGGAGAAGGGCGTAAGTCCATTGGAACTGTTCCTGGATCCTGAGCTGAAGGCTCGTCACTTCTGCGGTTGCCCAGAACGCCCTGGACCCTCGAGCTGAAGGCACGTCCAGCGCGGGAGTCTCGAGCGGAAGGCTCGTCACGTCCCCGACGGTCCGACTGGGGGGCGGGTGGCTGACGAAAGTCTTCGGGATTACGGGCGTGTCCAGGGAGTTGACCGGTCGTTGCATCGACCCCGGCGCCGAGGCGTCCGCTTGGGGCGTCCCAGGCTGCCGGGTCGATCAAAGCTGCTGTCTCGCTGGGAGCTCCTCGGGCTGAAGGCCCATCTCCCCGTGGGCGGCCGGCAGCTCCTGCTCATCGGGCTCTTCCGGCTCCTGCTCCGTATGCTGCTCACGTACGCTGCTCTGCGACTGTTCCGACTGGTTGGGCCCGCCGCCAGAATCGTCTATGGCTTCGCGGGGCGCGGCGGCAATTGGTGCACGGAAGTCTGGCGGGGACTTGCGGGTTGGCGCGGGCCGCACGGTTGGCCGCCAAGTAAAGGCCGAGTCGTCTCCAGCAGCTGGGGCTGAGGGGGCTGCTGCGCTGTGGTAAGCGGGGGCAGGCCCCTCCCGTTGGCGCTCGCCATCAGACCCGCGCCCGCCCTCGCCCACGAGCGCGCCCCCGTCTGTCGCAGCGTGACTTTCGTCAAGTGTGGGAGTGCTGCGGGTCGCACCTGGACCAGGCACGTTGCCAGACACCGTTTCTTTCGCCAGGGCGGGGGTCGCCTTCCTCAGCGTGGTCCGGCCTTCGGGCGTGAGTGGCTGCGGCTCGCTGTCCGTTCGGGCGGATTCGCTGACAGGGGAACGAGGGCGAATGGGCGCGAAGGGATTTCTCTCGACAAGCTGGCGGATGGCCTCGGCGTCCTGCCTCTGCAAGGCGCGTTCGTGGTAACCTGGCAAGGGGTCTTCGAGAGTACCAGGGACGGCGGCGGGCGGAGTCCCAGCGGGGCGTCGTTGGGTCTCGCCGCCAACCAGCTGTGTCGTCAGCCCCAGGCTTTGCAAGTGGTGGGCTCCGTGTCGACCGTCAGCCACGGGGATGGCCTCGGAGGCGCTGGCTGGAGGGTCGGTGCCGATCGCAAACACGTGCCCGTCTGTGGCCCGCACGCACGCACGCTCCGGCGTGAACTCCTGGCCCTCGATGCTGCGAGGAGGCTCGGGATAACCTCCACCATCCGCTCGGGGAGGCGTCGTGGAACTCTTCTCGGGAGGAGGCTGGTCATCGACTGCGGGCGCCCCCTCAGCGGCAATCCCACCTGTCGCCAGGATACTGTTGCCAGGGGGGGAGCAATGGGCTACGACCTCGCTGGAAGCTCCTCGGGCTGAAGGCCCGCTTTCTGCTTGTTCGGCCTGGTCAAATCCAGGAGAGGCGGCGGGCGAGGAGCACCTCCCGTCGCCGCTCGTGGCCACGTGCCCGCCGGCACTCTCGGCGGCCCTTGCTGCCGCCCCCGATTCTCGAGCTGAAGGCTCGTCACCTCTGAGGTGGCTGGATGCGCCTTGGGGTCTCGAGCTGCAGGCCCGCTCTGCTGTGTCACAGGTCGCTCCTAGGGCTGAAGGCCCATCTTCTATGTCAATTCTGCTACCTCCCGCTGCGTCTTGGACCCTCGAGCTGAAGGCTCGCTCCGCATGAGAATCTCGAGCTGAAGGCTCGTCACGTCCGCGCCTGTCTGACTGGGGGGCGGGCGGCTGACGAAAGTCTTCGGGATTAAGGGAGTGTCCAGGGAGTTGACTGGTCGCAGGATCGACCATGGCGCTGAGGCGTCCGCTTGGGGCGTCCAAGGCTGCTGGGTCGATCGAAACTGCTGTCTCGCTGGGAGCTCCTCGGGCTGAAGGCCCGTTGTCTGTTCGAGTAGTGCTGTCAACTCCAGGGAAGGCGGGCACGTGGCGACTCCTGTCGCCGCTTGTGGCCACATGCCCAGCAGCGCTCCCGAAAACCATTAGTGCCGTCTCAGGTTCTCGAGCTGAAGGCTCTTCATTTCTGAGGTTGCTAGATGCACCTTGGCGCCTGGAGCTGAAGGCTCGCTCAACTGTGTCAAAAGTCGCTCCAAGGGCTGAAGGCCCATCTTCCGTGTTCAATTCGCAGCTGAAGGCTGCTACACTCAGCGCAGAAGCATCCAGGAGGGGAAGTTCGGCGGGGTGAAGGCGCAAGCCTCTGCAAAGCGAGTCGGGACCAAGGGCGGGCGTCTGCTTGTCTCCCCTCCCGACGCCCTCGCGGACACCCCCTGGGGGGGCCAAATCCATAGTCCCCCCCTCCACGTCGCAACGGCCCCTGGGTCGAACGTCGAGGGCGCCCCTCTGGCAATCGCCAGTATGCGGGCCCCGCGGGCCAGGATCCGTGGGGGGGTTCGCTTGTTCAGGAGTGTGGCCCTCGCCCCCCGCAATCTCGGCTTCGCCGAGGGCGATCCAGCTCTGCCCAGCACCGCCTGGAGAGAAGGAGATTGGGCGTCCAGCAATGGGCATGGGAAGGGTTGGGGTGAGAGAGGGGGATACGCTAGGCGGAAGGGCATCACGCCTGCCGTTATCAGATCCAGGGAAGCGACTGAAGGTCGCAATATCAGTGTGCATCGCGGGGTT